GGGCGCGGCGCCGTGGGCGCGCCGCGCTGCAGCCTGCCAGGCCATGGCGGGCGGGCCGCTGCCAAGGGTTGCGGCGCGGAGGGGTGAAGCGGAAGAGGGCTCGGCCCTGTGGGTGGGCGCATGCGAGGCATGTGTCGAGCCGTCAGGAAGGGATGCAGAGTGCTACAAAGCGGCGGCTGCAGCGCCTGCAGGCCTGTTTGATTGCTCAGCTCCTCCAGGCACACAGAGGTACTGTGGTCAACAGCTGGCAAGGCAGCTGCACCAAGACATCTTGATGCAGCTAGTGCTGCGGACCACAGCTGCTGGCAGGATGCTCTTGGGTGCCGAGCCATGCGGCCAGCGAGCGGGACGCCTTGCCGCCGCCACACGCGCAAGCGCCACCATCATCCTCGTTCAGGGCGGGGACGCCGTGCTTCGCGATCCCGCTGCATGCCGCACCTGTCGATGTCCTGCAATACGCTGCTCTTGCGTCACGCGCTTGGCGTTCAGCCGCTTGACAGCTGGTGTGGAGTCCGGGTTTGTGAGTTGCGTGATGGCTACGCAAGACCGCTTTGCGTGAGCGTTATGAATGCTGTGATGAACGGTTGTCGCAATCGCAAGCGTTTCACGTGGAAGAGAAGAACAGATCAGGCACACATGACGACTTCCCGATCTAGCAGCTGCCGCTTTGCAAAATCCGCGCGTCGAGAACCGGACGCAGCCAGATGCTACCGAAGTAACTCGCAAACACCAATCGAAACTTTCGAACAGTTGCTGGCACGTACATACTGTCCTGAGAAGGGGGCGCCACCGCGTCCAGCATACCCTGACGAGCGCGCCCTCGCCGCGTCCGCCTTCGCCCGCCCGGCCACGCCGAATCAGCCGCCATGCTGCCCCGGCTAGCACCAATTCTCCTAAACCGGTGCGTCACGGGCGCCTGGGCCCCAATATGCGGCGCGGCGCAGAACTCGCTCGCCGCGGGAAGCAGCGGCGTGAACCAGCGGGCGCACGCCCCCGCTTCCGGCGCCGCCGCGCCCCCGCCGCCAGCCGGGGCGCGTGGCGTGCACAGCAGCGGGAGCGCCCCCAGCCCGCAGCTCGGAGGCTATATGTTCACCGGGCGCGGCGCTTTTGAGGGCGACCCAAGCCCGGCCTCTCCGACGCGCTACCTCATTACTGGGGCCTGCGGCCAAATCGGTGCGTGCTTCGGCCGCAAGGGCGTCGCGGCAGCAGTGCGCAGCACTGGCAGCAAGAGGGTGGGAGCGAGCTCGCCAAAGCCACGAAGCAGGGCTTGTACATGCGCCTGGGGGCTGTGTCCGGAGGCCCAGCGGCCAGCCTGCCAGGGCGGCGCTCGGCCAATCGTCGGAGGTTGCAACGGCCGGCCCCGGGGCTCGCACGAGCAGCCCCCGACATGCAGTGCCGACCCCGCAGGCTGCATGCGCAGCAGCCGTGCTAGTATGCGTGTGGCCTGCTGCTGTGTGCACCCCTCTGCGTCTCGAATCTCCCCCATCTTCCCCTCCGCATCGCGTTTGGGCCCCTCCTGACCCTTCGACTGCCGCCGCGACGAGCACAGGGGCCGAGCTGGTGCCCTTCCTCAGAGCAAAGTGGGCGGGGCACTGGCAGGGCTGAAACAACCTGCGGGAAGCTGCGCCAATCTGAGCGATGTGCCAGACTCGATTGCCTCCGCTGCATTGTTCCGTTGCAATCAGGCATTGAAAAGCGGCGCCGATGCCCTCCCATCCATACAGACGCCATCCCGCCTCTGCGCCAAACGCAACGAAACACGAGTTGTTGAGCAGAGCGACGCCAACAACATCCCATTCGTACAGCCAAACAACCCTGAACCCTGGACCCTCAACCCTCAACCCTGGACCCTGCCACCCAGGGTGGGCAAGGACAACGTGATCGCGTCTGACGTCAAGACATCGCGCAGCATGCTGGAGGGCGGCCCCTTTGCATACTTGGACGTGCAGGACAGGCGAGGCCCTGGAAGTTTCAGGGGCGAGGGAGGGGGCCCGGGGTCGTGGACTCCTCCGGGGGGGACGGGTGTGAGAAAGGAGGTTGAAAAGAAGAGGACACCTTTGTTGGGGGGCAGGGGAAGACGGAGGTGGGGGGTAGCAACTCTGTGATGGAGCGAGGGATTGCAGGATGGCAATGAAAGCCGATGTAGCTAATGCAGGGGGCGACGGCGCGTTGTTAAGGGGCGCAGCACAGCGTCACCGCCCGCGCACCCAGGTCCCCCCCCTCTGACGCGTGTGACGCGGGCTGGCGCCGGCGAGCCATCCGTCATCATCGCCTGCGGTCCCGCAGGGCGCGCTGTCGGTGGCCTTGACACCTCCGTTGCGCGGCCGCAGCGGCCGCGCCCGCCCAACGCAGCTCGCCCACACGCCTCGCTTGCCCCCTCCCCCCATAAGTCCTGCTGGCGCCTCGCATGCTCCCCATCTCAAATGTTCTCCCTCCCTCCCCAGGGACAACATGGCGCGGCTGATCCTTGAGAACGGCGTGACCCACGTGGTGCACCTGGCCACGCTGCTGAGCGCCGTGGGGGAGCGCAACCCCGCGCTGGCCCTCAAGGTCAACATCCATGGCTGCCAGGTGTGTGTGCGTGTGTGTGTGTGTTTGAGTGTGTGTGTGAGTGTGTGTGAGAGTGTGTGTGTAAGGAGGGCCGCACGGGCGCTGCATATCTGGGGTTCAGGCGGTCGCCAACGTAACGGCCAACGTGGCGGCCACCAACCCTGCAGTGGCATGTATTTAGGGGTTGAAGGACCAGAATTTGCACGGGCATGTCGAGCTGAAGTGTTGCCTGCTTGCACGGGCTCATGCACACCGTGTTGGCCTTGCCGCGACATGAACTGGTGCTGCTGATTATTTTGCGAGCATTGCAGCAAGCGTGCCCCTGAGGCCTCAGATGCCACCCCTGAGGCTCACCCCAAAACACCCCGCGGCGCTTCAACCCCTCAGAACGTGCTTGAGCTGGCCGCCCAGCACCACCTGGCGGTGTACGCGCCCTCGACCATCGCCGTGTTCGGCCACAACACCCCGCGCCACGACACGCCGGACGACACCATCATGCGCCCCTCAACCATCTACGGCATCACAAAGGTGTGCTTTTGGTGTTGTGTGGCAGGCCCCGCCCGATCGCGAGGCCTGGGGACAGGCATCCGCAGGGCAGGGGCAGCTGAGGAACGTGCACTGCTGTTGTTGACGACCTGCGGCACCTGGTGTTGAGGATGCTGCTGTGCGCCTACACAAGACAAGCTGCAGGCCCCCGCCTGCTCGCCGCTCTTTACTCTCCCCCTCCCCCCAGC